ACCCCCTGTTATCAAGACCCCCCTCCACAACCCCCCAATCTGCTGTCTATCTCATACAGGTCACGTCTATTCATTTCCTTCTAACAACCCTGTTCGTCGGAATTATCGCCACAGTCATCTTTTCCGTTACAGACTCTAGATAAAGCAACACATTTCTTGATGCTGGTGCACATTCGTCCTTTCGGACCGCAAGGGTTGTGGTTCGATTCCTCTACTGGACAGTCATCTTCATCAGAATTATCGCCACAGTCATCTTTTCCGTCACAGACATTAGATAAAGCAACACATTTCTTGATGCTGGTGCACATTCGTCGTTTAGGACCGCAAGGGTTGTGGTTCGATTCCTCGACTGGACAGTCATCCTCATCAGAATTATCGCCACAGTCATCTTTTCCGTCACAGAACTTGGAGTGGGATACACACTTCTTGACCCCCCGACACATTTTGCCCCAGTTGCCACACCCATAGCAGCTCAGCTCGTCCGACAAGTCCGGGCAGTCCATTATGTGGTCACAGAGGAAGTCCGAGGGGATGCACGAGCCGTCTCCACACTGGAAATTATCTCTGGGACACCTCGCGGCACAGGATAAACGATTCTCGTCTGAGCCGTCTACACAGTCCCGCACTCCGTCACATTGCCACTTCTGTGGGATGCACTCTCCGTCCCCGCACTGGAACTGGTCAGTCCTGCAGGTGGCCCCTGGACATCCCTCCTCATCCGAGCCGTCCGGGCAGTCTATCCGCCCGTCACAGAACTGGGAGAGTGACACACAGCGCCGCACCGACCGACACATGCGGCGCCCCGCTCCGCACGGACCCCCGCGGCCGCCACCGCCATATTGGGAGGATGACGCCACTGCGTACTGGTTGAGAAAGGCGGGAAGATCGTGACTGACTTGCTGCTGAAACTCGTCACCGCTGGCACTGACCAGTGGACTGACCACCACGAGGGTGAGCAAACAGGTCAACCCAAGCGCAACCGTCGTCCTGATTGTCGTCATGTTCGATGTGGGCAGTCTGCCGGGACGAGGAGACTTTCTGGATGGGCTTGTTGGAGTGAGGAGACGATTCGTCCAGGGGGGAAAAGCTATGTAGAGAGTCTGTGGAGAGGAATTAGGCTAGAGGAATTAGGCTGTGTATTTATTGTGGGGAAAACGCTGGCTCGTCACTGTCTGATACCCCCCCCCTCTCCCCAATCACTCCTCCTCCCTCTC